CTCAGAAACTGGACTCTGGATGTCTCTGGTCTCAGAAACTGGACTCTGGATGTCTCTGGTCTCAGAAACTGGACTCTGGATGTCTCTGGTCTCAGAAACTGGACTCTGCATGTCTCTGGTCTCAGAAACTGGACTCTGGATGTCTCTGGTCTCAGAAACTGGACTCTGGTTGTAACTGGTCTCTGAAACTGGACTCTGGTTGTCTCTAGTTGTCTCTGGATGTCTCTGGTCTCAGAAACTGGACTCTGCATGTCTCTGGTCTCAGAAACTGGACTCTGGATGTCTCTGGTCTCGGAAACTGGACTCTGGTTGTAACTGGTCTCTGAAACTGGACTCTGGTTGTCTCTAGTTGTCTCTGGGTGTCTCTGGTCTCAGAAACTGGACTCTGGATGTCTCTGGTCTCAGAAACTGGACTCTGGATGTCACTGGTCTCAGAAACTGGACTCTGGATGTCTCTGGACTCTGCAGGTTCTGGTGTTTTCAGCGACAGACTGAAACTCGTTAACAGATTAACAGTTCAGCCTCTAATCTGATCACTGCTAATTTTCCCGCCTCCCTCCGGTTCCGTTTGGTCTCAGAGGGATTACTGGGTCAGGAGGACCTGAGCCAGGTCAAAACCAGAATCTACAGATCATTTTATCTATTTTCTCTGAGTTTCAATCAAACATTTAAAACTATTTAAAATAAAACCTTGAATTGAGTCAGAGCATCAAATAAATTCAGTTTAGTCTTTATTTTTTAAGACTCGTTGGTCCTTCTTGACCGAGCAGACCCGAGGCCGGACCTGGGATCCGGTCACGTGCCGTTTCGAGCTGTTCTGAAGCCGTGAGGTTTCAGGCTCTGATGTTTGTTGGGTCCAAAAACAAAACAAGCTGATTAAGCAGCTYAGAGCTGCTATTCCTGGCCTCAGCAGGCGGATTAGACCTCTGGTCCTGGTCTGAGCCAAGCCCAACCACCATCCTCCGCYAGTCCCGAATCGTTCCCCCAAGGTTCCTGAACCGTTCCCCCAACAATCAGAGGACTGAGGGCGGCCATYTCAGGGGCGGAGCTAGACTGTTTTCAAAGGGGGACTGAAGTGTTTTAAGGGGGGCACATACGAATAAACAAACACACTTTGAATTTGAAAATTCAAGATGGCCRCCATAGCTAATTCTAAACAGCTTCAATTTATTAATTTTAAGAAATACTGATCTGAAATTTTGTGATCATAGCTATGAGTGATCGACAACATGCTGAATGCTAGTCCCAACTTATTATTCAGCCATTTTTTAAACTTACAAAGCTGACGATTCATGTAGAAGTAGCCAAAAACAATTTTARCTCATTTTAAATGCTAATCAAAAATTCAAGGTGGCCGCCACAGCTAACTTTAAAAGRTTAAAATACAGCAATTAAGAATTATTGTGATGAAATGTGTTCTGGAGTAGCTAATGTTCACATGCCGAATGTCATTAAGCTAACAAACAATGCTAACGCTAATTTAACAAGCGGCTACAGTTCAGCTGAAACGGCTAAAAATTTATTCAGCAGACTATCAGAAAACGCTCTTTAACAATACAAAAACTGAACTATCTCCCCGTGTCAATCATTTC